GAAAAAAAAAAAAAAAAAAAAAAAGAAACATGATTCAACCAGGTACCCCTATACAATAAATTTATAACTTGATGATGGTCACATACATTAATTTGACTAATTTAATCTTATAAAGTTGATTTGTGAATATATGCTCTATTACTAGTGAATATAAAATTTCTAACACTTAATTTCATGGATTGTATATTGGCACGTGAAAACCTGCATGACCCCTACAAAAAACGCTTATTAATAGTGTTTCCCGGTCCACAAAGACTCCATGGTTCATCATGGACCTTAAAAAAGGACCCACAAGTAGCCAAATTCTACTGCCCAAATATGAGTATTTTAGAAGGATTCTGCCAGTTGTTGTTGACGTACCTTTCACATGGTTTCTGATCCAACCCATTTCACATTAACCGACAATTGAAATCACCAAAACACACTTGGTAACCAACGAATCCTGCTCTTTACCTCTGGGGACAACCATGGAAACTCAAAAATCTATATACAAACTTTTTGTTTATGATAATATGACTTACGTTAATCAAATATAAATCTACATACAAACTTATTAAGTGAGAATGTCATTTTTTAAAATACAAGTTAAATGGATAAAATTAAATCATACAATACATGAATAATCGAGTCTTTTTCATTGTATACAATAATAATAACAAGGATCAAATTTAAGTCATCGTACATTAATCTCAACTTTCATCACTAATGATTAAATTATCAAGTTATTTTATCATATAAGTTTTTAAAAAATCAACATTATTTATATATTTTAATCTCAACCATTTATTATCATATCTAATAATCAATATTTATTTTTCTCATTCTCACATTAAAAAAAAATGTTTCCTCACCTATTACATATTGTATATAAGAGTGTTAAAGTCTTGTAATAGTATAATGAATCTCCCAACACTTTATATTAATAAAAATTTATTATTTTGGTGAGTCTCACATCTAATAATATTATATTATTGAGTCTATATCTTAATTCAGCACCAAAATTTTTATTTTCAATAAATGTCGTCCAATAATAAGATTCCTCTCATTTTATTTATCTATGTATCTATATAATTTCAATGGAGGCAATGGATCTGTATCACTAGTGTTCAAGGACGTGGCAATTGGCTTATCATTGGAAGCTGCTTCTGTGCTTCTTATACAAGCAGAGGATTTACCTAATTACATGGCACAGGGACCCAAACATACTCTGAAAGCGATAGTTAGTAATGAAAATATATAAAAAGCTGAGGGGCTGTGAAAAGGCTCAACTATTTTTAGCATGGGATGGGGACCATAGTATTGAAAGCAACTCGTCAAAAACAGATATGAAGAAATCTTATATTTCATTTTGTTAGTTTCTTCAGAGTTGTTGACACTATCCATGTCTTGAAAGAGATGGGGAGGACAGGCAAATGGCTTAGGAGCTTGTTGACAGGGAAGAGAGACAGAGAAAAAGAGAAGGAAAAATGTGCCACCAACCTGTGTTTGTCAAATGGCTCAGCAGCAGAAAATCCAACCACTCCAGTTTCAGCAACCACCAAGGAAAAAAGAAGATGGAGTTTCAGGAGATCATCAGCTTCTAGGGAATTGAATCTTGCAGAATCTGGTGGTGTCACTGCTTCAGTGACAGTTCATACTGCCACAGATGCTGAGAATGATCAAAGGAATCATGATATGGTGGCTGCTGCACCTGATGCTGTAATCTGTTTGACTCCTCATTCCAATGGATCATCAACAACAAGTATCGAAGAGACTGCAGCCACTAAAATTCAGTCAGTGTTTAGGTCCTACTTGGTATGTTACATTTGGGAGAGTTTTGTTTAACAAAATGTTTTCTGTTCTTGTTTTGTTTTGTTTTTTTACTTCTTTTCTGTATAAACTTCAGAAAACAGAAAACTTTTTCTCATACTAGTATTAAGAAATAAGTTTCTTCATAAGCTAAAAACATAAGCTAATTTGTAAAAGTTTTCTCCCATTAACTTGTCTAAAATCTTATTTTTAACTCATGCATAAGCTGATTTTAACTTGTAGAGAAATTTATTCAAACATGTCCTTTTGGTGTAAAAGATAGACTAGACAACTAATACTGGTGTGTGTGAGACTAATATTTCAACGTTTGTGTAACAGGCAAGAAAAGCATTGTGTGCTCTTAGAGGACTAGTGAAGTTGCAGGCACTAGTGAGGGGTCACTTGGTGAGAAAACAGGCCAGGGAGACACTAAGATGCATGCAGGCTTTGGTCATAGCACAAGCCAGGGCTCGTGCTCAGAGAGCGCGGATGGTGTCAGAAGGAAATGCTGATCTAAACTTATCACCCTACACAATAACCACACAGGAAACCTTCATGAATATGTATAATGTGAGTTCAATAACTGCTGTTAACTACCTTTCAAATTGTGGAATGATGGTTGAAAACTGAAATTTTACATGAGAAGTTTCTGATTTGCTGTCCATATAGAGGATGATAATTTTCTGAGTCAGGTAGAATGAAAATGATAATATTCCATTTTTAATTAATCGGTGAAGCATTCTATGAATATGAAGATTGAAAATAGCTTGGCACTATTCCATTCATGCAAAAGAATTACACTTCTTTTGGGTAAATATCCTGCAATGTTGAATTTGAAAACTAACATAATTTAGGGTCTGTTTGAATACAAGTTTTTTAGAGTTTTTTATTGGAAAAATCTCTTTATATTTAGTAGAGAAGCTTTCAAAAGTAATTATAACTGGCATCCAAAAAGGTTTTTACTCTAGCCTAACCAAAAGAAAAATAGCAGAGATAGTTCTTATGTTCATTGACATAGAATGTGGTTTTTGTTCATGAAGGAAATGGACAATGATTTGGAAGAGAATGCCAAGATTGTGGAGATGGCTGTTTGTGAATCCAAAGGCAACAACTCAAGAGGCAGAAGCAGCACTGCAAAGCGTGAGCTTTCTGAGCATAGATTTTCTGCTTATTATTCATCAAATGGTGCATACTCAAAGGAAGAAAACTACAATGCATCATCACCAGCACCATCAACACTAACAGAATTGAGTCCAAGAGCATGCAGTGGACATTTTGAGGAGTGTTCCTTCAGTACAGCACAAAGTAGTCCCTATTACTACTCAGCAGTGTCAAGAGTAGATAACAGAAAGCTTCCTTTTGCTTTCCCTAGACCATCCTACACAGAAACCATGTCCTATGACTACCCTTTATTTCCAAACTACATGGCTAACACAGAATCATCAAGGGCTAAAGCCAGATCACAGAGTGCACCAAAGGCAAGGCCAGATTCATACGAGAGGCAACCGAGCCGGCGAAGGGCTTCAGTGGAAGGAAGAAACGTCCCAAGGCCAGTGAGGATGCAAAGATCATCTTCACATGTGGGTGTCACTGCCCAAAACTACCAATATCCATGGTCAATAAAGCTTGACAGGTCCATAGTCAGTGAGAGTGGCTCTACAAGTACAGTACTCACAAACTCTAATTACTGCACATGATGTGAGTACTGCTATGCTACTTACCATTCTCATCATGTGACATGTTTTCACCACAAGTTTGAATGATAGTGCAACACAAAAACAGCTCAAGGAATCATGTGTAATAGTCTTGAATAAAGGCCAAGTCATGTCACTTATTTGGTAATACTATTTGATCTGATAAGGTTTTATATTTGTTTGTTTTTGGTTGCAGCTCATGGACATAGCACATAGGTAATCACAATGCACTTTCCACTACAACAAAGGGTACCCCTTTTCCAATCCAGGGTTCCTTCTTTACCTTTTAGACTTCAAAATATAAATAACAAACTCTGCATTTACAAATTCTGAGATTTTGATTGAAATCAAAATTAGCAGATTTTCTTCTTGTGTTTATTGTCTTGTGGATTACACTGTGGAGAGAACGTTTTAACGGTTTATGAACTGTGTATAAATTTTACATAGTGGCTTATTTCCTCACAGCAATCATTTGCCACCATGGTGGTTGTTTGCTAAGGAGGACTTTCTTTCCCTGATCTTTTTCTTCTGTCTAGAACAGTAGATAAGTTGTTAATTTAGCAAACCTTTGGACATAAATTAGACTACAGTATTAAAGTATTAAGTGATATTTTAATTCATCACCTTGGATCTCAAAATTTAGAAGGTGGAAAACTTTAACTTTGTATTACCTAACAGTAACACAATAAAAATATATTAGTCTAACTTTTTAATTAATGAGTTCTATCTTTGATTTTGTATTTTTTAGTCAACAATAAAAATATGTTAGAGAATGTGTTTTGTTAGTACTTAATTTTAAAAATCAAGTCTTAAATGAGTTGAAATTCATGTTTTAGTGGAGGTCCCACTAGTTTGGGAATTGAACCCCAGTATCTAGAAACTTACATGAATTTCACCTACTAAAAAAAGTGTGTAGAAAGTGAATTTCAAAAGTATATTTGCTATTATTTCTCTTTCAAACAAACATTTTCAAAATTAGCTCGACCATTGGACTGGTAAAAGCATTGAATCGGAAATAGTAACATATATGCTTTTAATATTAAATAATATATTAAGTAAACTAATATAAAATTATAAGAAAAATAGTCGTGTGAAATTTTAAATAAACATAAAAGGGTCAATTTGTATGTTCTACAGAATAAAAATGAAAAACCATAATAAATAATTAAATGATAACAATTTATATGTAGATATCATAGACGACCCTTTGTATATCTAAGATATGTTTTAAAATAAAATAGAATCAAAAAGACCATTTCAAAGCAAATTCAACAAAAAATTTTGGCTTGTCACGATTGTGCGAATTACAGGTCAAGTAGCTTTAATTAGAAGTTTCAAAAGTCCAATAAAGATCACAGCTAATCCAGTAGTACAAATATTTTTTTGGTAAAATCAAACAATAACATACATTCAAACGTACTCTTCTCAGCATTCTTAATTGGTAACATTTTAAATTCATATGAATTCCACTAAATAATGTAAAACCTATATCGTATATAATGAATCCCAATTATTATTTAGACCTACATAAACCTTATTCAATAATATATATGTGTGTGAGAAAAAACATTAAAAGAATATCATCTTTTACGTCAATTATCATGACCAAAATTTAAACTCAAATTGTCATCTTATTTTTTTTTCTGTTTTCAAATCCACCCAAACATAAATAGAATATGTTTATCATATATTTTGCAAGGCACCTGAATTCACACATTTATAAGGGAAAAAACTATAGGAACTATTTAATCAGACATTATTACATTTAAATAATAGGCAAATAAGTATTTATTTATTTATAATATAAAAATCAAATTATTCTATATTATGTCGATACATCAGTTTAAAACATATATAAAATATTGTTATATTAATAAAAAATATTTATTTGTCATTTTATAATGTCCCTCTTATTTTAATATGAAAATTCTATCAAACACGACTTGATTGAGGGTTACCAGATTAGTCAAACATGTTATTTTGATTGCCACTTTCATCTTAATAGAGTATTTTTATTAATTTATCTTAATAATATTTTCTATATCTTTATATTATTTCTATATATTTTTAGATATTTTATCTTTCTATGTACTTTCTAAATTATTTAATCAATCTATTGTTGAGTCCAAACCCTTTATACTACTACTAATGAATTTTTTTAGCGTAATTAAAACATCAATTAAAGCAAATTCAATATTGATTTATAATGACTCTTAAAAAGTGGATGAGAAAAAAAAAGTTTAAACTAAATAAAATAGAATCAATATGGCATGAGTATATATAGAAATTGTTTAAGACCTCAGATATCTAATACAATACAATAATTTGGGACTCGTAATTTGTCATTATATGTATATACACCTATATATTCCTATTTTTAACAATATTTTCTTTGGTAGAGTAGTGTTGACACAAGTTTATAATATAATACATAGAAAACTAACTAGAAATATTGTGATTAATATATAATAATTGACATATATTTATTTGATATATTTACATTCTAAAATAATAATTACCATGTTACTAACTTTTAATATACATATATAATAAAATATAATAAAAATTATGAAATTTTGATAAATCCATATATCCATGTCTAGTTTCTGTTCTAATTTGAATCCATAAGAGATCCATATTCAACAGCAGAATCACATCATTAATGCAAAAGCTATCTCAAGCAACTTCACTAGTTTGCTACTATGACACTTTGTTTTTATGGTTTGCTACCTTGCTTTGTTATGTTGAAAAGTTGTATTTTTGTATTGAATGTATTATGTTATGCATATATGTCATTAATAGGTTTTTTAATATTATTTTTTATATCAAGTAAATTCTTGAAAGTTTACGAATAGTCTACAAATCGAATCAAAGACTCGCAAGTTTCTTGATTCTGGGTGTTAAAATTACAACCCCTTTGCATAACCTCTGCATTAAACTAACTCAAACAACCAGAGGTCCCGAGCTTGTTGAATCACCTCTGTAACTCTTGCCTTCGGATCATTAGAGAACAAAAACTCATTGACCAATTCTGAGTTTCTATGAAGTACAAACAAAAGAGGGTACAAAAACAAATTGTTGATCTAAACTGAACATTAACCACCAAATTCAATATTCATATCTGGACCAAAATAAAATACAGATAAAATACCTATGCTAATTGCTGACTGACTACTTGAAACTTGCCTTGGCAACAAAGAAGAGTCATCTGAAGTGAACAAACTAAATGCCAAAGTCTCCAAACCACAAGAACAGAGAAGAGCAAACAAACAATAAAAAGATTACCAAAAATGCATGTCCTTAATGGATTGGATAGTTTATAATAATTAAATAAATAAATAAACAGATCTCACAAAATTATGGAGCATACATCCTGCCAGCATTTGTCACATACCAAGACAACAAAACATCGGCACCAAATTGTATCTGTATTCATTGAACATGCAAACCGTCGTCTGAGCCTGTCATTTTTACCTTATGGAATAAATATACACCAAGTACCAGTGAAGTACTCTAAGAACGGGGCATGTTTTCTTTGAATAACCGGGGAAGAACTTCATGTGCACCAATGTCCAAAACCTCTGGATCCCTGAACATAAACACAAAATAGTTTTAATTTTATAATCTCTTTATTTTTTGATCCGTGGGAATTACAACAATGATGACAACATAGTTCGAACTTAGGATTTTGTACATATTTACTCCAAATCCCCCCTCCACCCCACTAAACAGACCCTAGTGGTTTAAATCTTTAATACCTAACAACAATAGGTGGTGTTTGAACTACTTTTTAGAGCTCACAAGTTACAGTAAAGTTAAAATAATAGCTTTAAAAGTTATAGTTAAAACTTTTTTGGTAATTCTATGAGTTTTTAAACATAAGAGCTACGTTTTAGTTAAAATTTCTTGGATAGTGTGTCTTTAAATCTAGGGATTTGAAGTAAAGAAGGAAAAGGAGAAGTAGAAGTCAAAAGCTCTTAAAGACAAAGCTCCTTTTTCAAAGTTTTCTTCATTGAGAAAAGACGCATTTTTAAATGCTTTATTTCTTAAAAAATAAAAAATCGGGTCAACTTCTGAGTTAAACCAAGACTAAAATATTGGTTCAAAAAGAAAATACGACTAAAATAAGCCGAGTTAAACACTACCTAAGTCTATATGACCAAACGTAGGGTACAAGGAATGCCAAATGTCACAATATTAATGTATATAATAGCAAAGTTTTTATACTAATAATTCTGCAGATAAATTAGATTAACAAAACCAGCATATGACCCTACTGGATAAGTAGGAAGTAATAGGAAAAGGGAACAAGCATCTATCCTCGTCTTTCTTAGGTTTAATAGAAGAACAATCGTTCCTTGCAATATCACCCTCCATAAATTACAAAACTTACATTCAGTAAATAAGTGTAAGCAAGAGATAGTGGGAGAGAAACCTGCACAATGTCTGTCCCTTTTCATTTGAACTGGGTATAAACCATAGCTTTCGCAGGGAAGGTGACTCAAATTGAACAAAGAAACCATCACTCTGGGCATGTTTCCACTTTCTTGATCCTTGTCCCTTCCAGACCTGCAGGCATAGAATGTTAATCGATTCTGTGGACATTCAGATTTCGCAATTCTAACAGAATGAGTATAAAAGCAGGCAATCTAAGCCACACCAAAAAAATTAGCTTTTACATGGTCAAAAGAATAGCAAATGAAGGTATAAACAATATTAACCCATCTCTGGCCAAGTAATGCACCAGTAGAGGCCCCAAAAAGAAGGATTGATCAAGTGGCGGATAGCTCCAAGAAAATTCTAATAGAAACAACTAAAAAGAACTAGATATAAATGGCCATACAAAAAGGTTTCTGAACAAAAACAATGGCATCATTCAGTCCATGTAGTTAATCCCATCTTGCAGTAACAAACTTTTTTATTGTTGCATTATTATCCTGACCAGCCCAAAGGAGGGCACTAGTTTAGAATGAAAGAATCAAAGGGAGAGAAGAAGAGGGGATGGAAAGGAAAAAGCTAATCTCTAGCTATTACCTTCCGTGTTAGCCTGCACAGGAAATTTAAACTACAAAAGAAATATTATTGAAAAGAGAGGGGGAACCTTTATTTTGATTTCTTTTGCCTATTTCGATTTTTCAAAACCCACACACCCTTCATGAGTTACTAGATCATCATCATCATTTATGTAATGAGATGATCAGTAACCAAAAACCATTTTTCCTACTGAGACCACCAGGTCCGGCTTCATAAGTATTTGATTCTATTGGTTACACAAATCTATATTGTAAAAGTGAATATAAACCATTCGGATGGAAAACATTTCCCTTCAGTCCCTCTTTTACCATCCCCATTGTGGCCATGTCTGGAGTATGTAATGTATAAAAAAATTTTAATGATATCAAGTGCCACAATATTTTAACTAAAAGAATGATGCTATGGACCTCTTCCTATTTTCTTTTCATGCAGTGCTACACCATGAAATTCACAACTCACCAATAGAAATGAAAGCATCTGAATTACCTACACTGATAAGATTATCTTCATCATACACTCATTCTGGGTCCACCCAAACTGATAACCTGATCCAGCTTAAACATTTTTGTACATCCAAAGTAGCCCAAATCTTGTAACAAAATTTCCCATTTAACAGTGGAATTTCTTAACCATCTACATTTTCTGAAGTGGAAGTTTCAATCCTCAATACATTAAGAATTCAAAAGTTACCTGTGGATAAGCAATGATGCTTTTGGGAGTCACCAAGCAGGCTGCTTTGGAAAAAGACTCCTCAGCGTACTGTCTAAGAAATGAAATGCAGTTGCTATGTGTATGTGGTGATTCAAAGGCCTGGCAAAGAATATGAGAAAAATAAAAGATTAGAACTCAGAATACCTTATAGGGAATATTTGAGTTAATCATTAGCAAACAACAAAGACCGGCTAAATAAGCATGAATATTATGCATAAAGTTTATAAGCCATATATCCAAGCACATTGTTACAGATATTGTGAATATATTACAGATATTGTGGATACATATATTATGGTTATTATCCTCACTATCAATTAGGGATATGATTAGATTAGTTTCCATAATATTAGAGATTAGTATCTCTATCATTTATTGTATTCACTCTATAAATAAGATTGATATGTGTACAACAATACACACAATTCCTGAATCACAACACACATAAAGCAAGGAAACCCCAAAGCAATTTGTACAAAGATTTAACAAGAAAATATATACCTTATCAATATTCACAACTGGGGCATACTTATCGGTCTGTGTCTTTTCCATATCAAGAAGAAAGTGAACTCTAGCATCCACTGAAGAAGTTTCATGCCATGATTTTACAGAAGTCTCCATAGTTTCAACAAGGAATAAGAACATATCTTTCCAGCATTCTTCAGATCCATACTTTCCAGACTGCATGTGGGAGATCATTTTAATCCTCACTAGCGAAATTTTAAAATGATGCATGATTATATATAAAAAATAAAAATTAAAAAAACAAGGAATTCAAAGTTAACAGAAACATAAAATAAAAATCTAGGAAACCAAAATATAGAAAGAAGGAAAGAGATATATTTCCATCGTTCTAAGTTCATTTTTCAGGTGTTTTTCTCTATTTTTTGAGAATTGGAGTCTTTGTTGATTCAATCAAATTTGAATGAATGAATGAACTAATCAATTTTCAATGAGTTGATATCCTACAGCTTATTGTCATATAAATGACTGACAGCACCAACGATGTCAAAATTGTAAATCCCACCTTGGTGCAGACACGGGTGATAGAAATATAAAAGGTAAAAATATGAGATTATTGTTAAAGGCAAGCTTTGATGGACCAAATAAGATTAAGAAATTGAAGACACTTTTGTATAATGTTTGAAAGTTTTGATGTTGCCTCACATTTATGATGAGTGCAATTTGTATTGTGTGTTTGTGATTGTTTGTTGGATATTATTTAAGCTTTTAGAAGACTTTTGTCTCAAAGATGATCCATGATCTGTTAGATGATCCATGAAAAAGTATTAAAGCGGAGAAAAAGTTAATTCAACCAACCTTCTTATGTTTTTCTGCTTCCCTTCTTTTCAATTATTTTACTCTTGATCATTATTGTGGTTGTTAGCTCAAGACTAGCATGCACACACATAAACACTTGAACGAACAAAAACACTAATAAGGTTGATGCAAAACCTATCGAAGTTAAACCAACTTTTTTCATCCTTCACTTTGATTTCGTACTCACGGTCACAAGGAATTTTAAAATTAAAAACTGTTACTATTGATGTTTCTTCCAACACCACCAGTTGGCCCCTTTTCTATTGATGAACAATTAATTTATTAAGGAAGAAGAGAAAGATACAACAGTAAATGAAAAGTAATACTCAAGGGAAAACGGACAAGGTAAAGACATAAAGGGGAAAAGCCAAAAACGCAAAGATCCGGGAATATTGCAACAAAGCATGATAATCTCTCTGAAGATCTAACAATACTGAATATATTGGTATCTATTGATTATTCATTTTGGTGTTAATAAATTCAGGTTTATTGGGAGTTTATAGTAACTCTGGATTGCTTGGTTATCAAGCTGGATTACCATAGCCATTTACAGCACACAATATCAGGTAGCATTTCAGCACATATACTCTGCACTATTATTTGGAATTGATAACTATGTGGTTAACCTAGATACAGATAGCTATGAACTGAATTTGATACTTTCAACTCAATTTAAAAATATATATTGTTCCTAAACTTCTGTTTCTCCCTTGTGTACTTGTTCCCCTTTTCTTCTGTATTTCTTCCTCCCTTTTGTCTTTCTCATTTTTCTCCCTCACCCTTTTCACATCATATATTAATTAATGCAAAAGAAAATCTAAAAAAACACATACATGTTGAGCACTCCTAGGAATAGAATGGGACTACATGCATACTAACCATTTCAGGTTTCAATGTATCTAAATGTTTGGCCATGTCAACATTGGATCTCATGTTCTCCACTTCTTGAGCTCGCTTGCTATCTCTCACCAGTTGGTTTATCTTCTTTATCTTTTTTGATACTTCTTGACTTTGTGGGTTATACTGCAATGCTATCTGAAAGGCAGCTAAAGCCTACAAACAAATAGTCACACAAGCAGACACAGTATGGTCAAAATCCCAAAATACAGCAGAAAAAATAGCTTCCAATCAAATTTAAGCAAAAGACTACATTAAATACATACATCATCGTATCGTTTCATGGCCTCCAATATGCTTCCCTTCCTGAAATATCCCTGGAAGTGTATTCAAGCAGCATTACTGAAAATTGTAATACAAGGGTTCAAACACTAGATAAGTATTAATAAATAAACATTTACCTTTTCCCATTGAGGTTTTAGTTTGATTGTCATCTCAGCATCATCAAGAGCTTTATTAAGCTTATCCAATTGTAGCAATGCTGCTGCACGATTACTGGCAGACAATGAATAAATAGAAACTACATCAGGACAAGATGTTTATGTAATGAGTGCATGTGACATATCTCACATGTTAAAAACAATCATCCAAACTACTCAACTTGCATAAGAAGAACAAGTCAGTAACTTCTAAGTGCCACACAACACATTTCATGAGATATGAAACTCAATTAAACTTAATGAAAAATTAACAAATACAGATATCAAATGAAAATTAATCAGAAAAAAAAAGGGTACCATGAAATAGTTAAACCATTCAAAGACACCCTCATATTCCGACTACTCTATCATGATAAGCATCTACAGGATTATTATATCAGTGGCCAATAATCTGGATTAATGCCACTGTTTCAGTGTTTAATACTACAATGCAGTAATAGAAACTATAAAAGTGTGACACATTGCTTCCTTGTAGCTCAGGATCTATCACAGTAGTGCTATTTACCAACCTACCACCCCAACGGCCGGTATTAGAGCTCGTTGGGGTATGTTCACTTCTAAAAACAAAAAATTAAAACTTTCTTTCCTATCACTTTCCCTTCAATTTAAATTTCAAACTTTTCTCTCCTTCCTCACTTTCTCTCCACAGTATCAAACAGACCTTAAAGCTCAGTACATCCAGTGTACTAATCTACACAGCGTCACAATTAACTGAAAGAAACTAGATGAATATTGAAAAGAGAACCTTTTTCTATTCAACTGCCCCATCTTATGCGATATAACTATCTAACTCCAACCCAAATTACACAAGGCCAAATTCTGAAACTCATCGTAAAATGGCAATAAAATCTGACAGTTAGCAGTCTATAATAACTGAAAAACCAAATAATATAAAATAACAAAAAAAAATAAAAAAAGAATCCCTTTTGTGATTTAGTTTTCAGAAGAAGGGACACAAAATAAACGAGAAAAGCAAAATGCAGAAGCAAAATTTGAACCCCACCAATTGAAAGATGCTAAGAAAGATACCCAACTGAAAAAAGGTGAAAATTTTGAAAGAAGAATGGTACCTATAGAGAGTAGGGTTTGAAGGGTCTTGCTTGATGGCTTGAGTGTAGAGTGCAGCAGCTTTGAGATACTTTCCTGACTTGAAAAACTCGTTGCCCTGATCCTTCAGAGACATCTCCGGACCTGACCCTTCTTTCGTTTCTGCCATCGATGATCTTTGTAGTTTGAACCTTGTAACCTGTGAACTGGGATTCTGGTTCCTAATTTTATGTAGGGTTTACCACGAAGATGTTTGTTCCTTCCAAACCCTTTTCTTTTATCATTAAATAATTTTTAATATTTTAAATTTAGAGTAAATTTATTATTCATCTTTTAAATTTAAAATTATTATTTTTAATCATATGATTTTAAAAATATTATTTTAATTCATTAAGTCACTAATAATATATCTAAAATTTATATACTGAGATAAATACACACCATCGATTTAATGTGATTTTTTTTTCTGAGATATAATTTTATACGATAGAATTTAACAGATTTTCTTAAAAAAATATAAATATAAGAACTAAAATAATATTTTTTTAAAATTATAAAATTAAGAAGATTAATTTTAAATTTAATAAACTAAAAACATATTTAAACTTATATAATATATATAAGGTGTTCTTATCTCACTTGAATAGATTTATCAATAAAAATATATCTAGTTTATATATTAAAAAATATAATTATTCAATATTTTCATTCTATTTTATTAATGAAAAAGATGTATTTTGTGGCTCTAATTATTTTGTTTCAAAATAAAATTGTACAGCTAGGAGCAAAAAATGTGCAAGTCTAGTAACATCTTGCCAAACAAGTAGCATTAACCTATCAACCTAAGACACATTAGTTAAATGATACTTAAATATGATAATTAGAGTAAAGATATTTTTGGTTAATCATTGACAGACTCGTCCTACAACTTTGGTAACTTAAGCATTAGAATCTCTTTATAAGTATTTTTATCCTCTTTCTTTGGGAGGTTGACAAACCCAAAAGGAAAGGAAAGATCATTGCAAGGAAACTCATTAACGTTAAGGTAAAGTACCCATCCATTTTGTAGGTACACTTTGATGTCTGCCATGTGATTGTTAAAAAATTTTCTACTATTATCAAAGCATGATTGATTGAATTTGGATTATAGTTTGAATTGTGAAAATTTTACCGTATAGATTGAAATCTTAAATTGATGTAATTTATGATTGAATTTTTTGATTGAATTTCCTGTTTGTGTTTGCAATATTATAATTTCTCTTTGTCGTCCATAAAAATTCCCTTTCTAATTGCATGATAATTATGGATCCAATTGGCTTGTGTCTTCAAGAAGAATGACTAAGTTGTTTCATATATTACAAATTTTTAGGAAAAATCTAGTAATTTTTTTATAGTGATTCGACAACGCTATCAAAATGGTGTTGTTATTGGGGACACAAGTCATTGTGTCGATTTTATCATGCCTACTAACCTTGATTCTAACCGTTTTTGTTGAGTTTTGTTATTTTGTGTAATATTTACTTACAACACTTTTTTAAAGTTTTCACTTTGGGTTGAAACATTTTCTCCAAAGGTAAACAATCATTTTGAGCAAATTTACTCCCATTGGGAGTAAACCGTACATAAAATTGCCAAATTCCATCATTTAAACCACTTTTTCATTTTTTACTAGTTTTGATATTTTTAAAAATCACCAAAAATATTACAAAAATAGGAAATTTGATATTAAATGAGTTTCCAGTAGTCTTGTATTTTTTAAAATTCATTTAGTAGTGTTTTGCATGTTATAGGTTCTTTTTGTTAGATACTTATGGATAATGTTTTGATTGAGTTGACCTCCTTAGTCCAACAATTAGCCATTTGTGGTAATGTTCATTACAAAAAAGGCATTTAGCAACCACAAAATTGGTTACTAAATTGTTTAAATTGGTCGTTATTTACCTTAGCGATTGAATTAGTGACCACATTTAAGTAATTGCAAAAACCTTAGTCACAAAGCTATATAGTAACAAAAATATCACAGGTTGCTATTTAGCGACAGAAAGTTTCGATCGCAAAATGGTCACTATCATTTTGGTCACTGTTATATATGGGTCAAATTGATGACCGAATGAGACATCGCTAAATCAATTGCCAAGTATAATTTTATTTTTTAAATAAAATAAAAATGATTTTCAGTTTAGTCTCTAAATCATTCACTAAATATCTATTTTTTATTTTATTAAATTTTATAGACATCGCAAATTCAGTCGTTGCCCATGTCACTAAATTGTTAGTGACACATTTTTCAGTCGCTATAAGTTATATTTCGTCACAAATTCAATTGCTATAAGTTTTATTCCATCCCAAATTTGGTCACTAAGTTTGTTTTATTTTTAGAGATAAAAAAACCAGTCGCTAAATTCATACCTAAAGCACTATTAATTTGGTCTTATTTTAATTTCCATTTTGAACTTGTTTAACAGTCATAAACAATAACACTAAAATTGATAATGCATTTATAGTACTAATATCACAATAAAAGTAATTAACATATATAATATATGATATATAATCTTCAAAATTACAACTAATAAAAAGAATCCAAAATAAAAAAGATATATAACTAATAACTAATAGTAAAAATCAAATAAAGTATTCTAAACCACAACTAATATAAAGCATCCAAAATAAAAGTATATGACATATTACTAATAGTAAAAACCAAAACAAGTCTTCAAAACCACAACTAACTAAAAGCATCTAAAATGAAGTACATAACATATAATTGATAGTAAAAACTAAAACAAGTATATGATATCATAAAAGACAAATACATATGCAATCAACAATCTTTCGGTGTATCATCAATATGATCATCCTGCTTGTCTTCAACATGGTGTTTGGGGCTCCCGATATTGGATTTGGACTTTCTTAGTGTCCATGGAAAGATAAAAGAGAGTTCTTCAACTTCTCTGTTGGGAGCAAAGGCCAGTTCAATTATGAAGGGACCAAAAAATGCATTTCAAGATTGCGACCCTGTGTAGTATTTTTTGTTTGTTTTTTGATTGTAATGTTAATATTTGTTTAGTGATGTAATTAATTGATTTATTGGGTTAGGCCTTTACTTACTCAAATTAGGCTCACTATATTTCTCTATTAATAGGTGCTTTGAGACTTGTTGTGTATACTTTACACTCATTTTTCAGATTTTATAGTTGTTTCCTCTACAAATTTATCTAAATTCTCTCTTTCCTCTCTTCTCTCTTGGAATTTTTCTCTTTACATTTTTCTACAGAAAAGAATTGAAGCATCTTGATGAAGATGTATGGCTAATTCATTCATTTGATTTGAGATTTCAAGAATTACGATAAAATTTTGAGTTCCCGATTTATTTTTACCATACGAATTCTCTTCATCTTCTTCTCCGTTCTTGATCCATTTTCCATTCTTCATGATTATGAATTTTGTTTTAATGGATCCGGATCAGATTTGAAGATTAATTTTGGATCTAGATGTAGATTTAGATCTAGACCTAAAATAACCTAAATCACTGGAGTCAATTGTTCACCATCGTTGCATTTCAAAGAAATTATGAGATCGCGATTGCGTTTCATTTTTTATGGAATTCAATAGATCTAGATTTAAATCTACATTTAGATTATGTTTATGTTGATTTAGGTTGATTGGATTTGGATTATAATTTGAACCGTGAAAATTTTACCATAGTGATTGAAATCTTGAATCGATGTAATTTCTGATTGAATTTTTTGTTTGTGTTTGCAATATTATAATTTCTCTTTGTTGTCCATAAAAATTCCCTTTCTAGTTGCATGATAATTTTGGATCCAATTGACTTGTGTCTTCAAGAAGAATAACCTAGGTTTACAAATCTTTGGAGAAAATCTAGTAATTTTTTATAGTGATTCAGCAACACTATCACACATCGCATTGCATTTTTATGTATGTGCTTGTGAATGGAATTACTAGCATTATAATTGAAGTATGAATTGTTGTTATTATATTTTAAAGTATTAATTGCTATTAATACATTGTTTCTTGTGAAGGGATGCAATGTCGAGGGTTGCGGCCCATTCCCTATAGAGTGAGATTTTTCTCACTCCCTTGTTTGTGTTTTGGCATGTCTCTTGTATATTTTGCAAACAAGGACCCTTAATCTTGGGAGGAATAGGGAGAGATTTAGGTGTGGTTGTGGAGACTCTAATGCCAATGTGACACTTGAGATTTGGAGTAGTTAGGAATTTATGTTATTATTATCATTGATTTTAGTTCAACTTATTCAAATTGTAATTTGTTTATCAATAATCTGTTATCTTTATTTCTTTTCTATTGATGTGAGTTACTTCTTATATAACTTATATGAGGACTAATTGAGATTTCATGAGCTATTTATATTCATTAATTGGTATCTCTCTCTTGGGGGTAGATGGGTGTCACACTAAAACTATCTTGGGACTCTTTCATTGCAACAAAGTCTTAACTTTGGCTGGGTCCGCTAAAATTCCTTCTACATAAATCACATAGCCTTAAAACTTCACTTCATTCATCCAAAATTTACACTTTGACAACTTTGCATATAACTTATTTCCTCTCAACACCTTTAACACCATCTTCAAATGCTCCCTACGCTATTCCAAGGATCCTAAATAGAAATAAGTGTCATTTATAAAATTAACTAAAAGTTTAACCAAAAAAGGTGTAAAAATCGCATTCATATACTCCATGAAAATTGTAGAGACGTTTCTCATACCAAAGACATCACCATATACTCATAATGACCATATCGAGCCCTGAAAATGATCTTCAATATGTCATCATCTTTCACCCTTATATGGTGATATCTAGATCTTAGATCAATCTTGGAGAAAATTGAAGCTCCTTTTAACTAGTCCATCAAGTCAGCTATCATGAGTAACAAATATTTATTCTTGATGATCTACTTGTTCAACTACCTATAATTCACACACAACCATGCATCATCGTCCTTCTTTTTTACTAACAACATTGGTGCACCCCACAAGCACATTTAGTCCGATCATCTATTTCACCAAGAAATCTTCAACTTGCTTCTTTAACTTGAACAACTTAGTTGGAGTTATCCTATACAACGCTATTGACACTGACTCTACACCTAAAATCAAGTCAATATAGAAGCCCACCTATTTCTTAGAAAGCAATCCAAGAACTTCATTTAAAAATACATTAAAGAAATCTCTAAACTCATATTAGATGACATTTTTAGTGCATAACTTATTTTATC